CGGCTGGCCAGAGGAGGACAGTCTGGGGCCGTTTCAGTGTCAATCTCCCCACTGCCACTGTTTAGAGGGGCTCATTTGGTGTCACTGGTGACAGGAGCTGCTGCTGGCCAACAAAGAGCCAGTTTTGCAGGATAAAAAGTTATCTGTCTCCCACCCCAGCTCCGGCAGGGAGCTGATGGCCACATCTGCTGGAGAGGAAAGTCAAGGAGGGGTTGTTGGGCAGGTAAGGAGCTGGCCTAGAGCACGCAGCCACTGGGGAAAGCAGACATACAGCCGACAGATGTATGCAACTACCTGTCTATACAGCCCTCCCCATGCTCCTTCCCACGCTGCATGCAAGCACCCTGCTGCACACACACAAGCCAGGCCAGATGGGTGCTAATATTCCCCTACAAAAAAAACACTGGAAATGCACACAAACCCCACATACATGTCCTCCACAGACCCGGCTAGCTGTGAGGGGAGAGGAAGGGGCAGGAGCACTTACTGGTGTTGTTCCCTGCCAGCTTCAGCTCCAGCTCCTGCACCTGCTTGACCAGGAGCGAGATGTGCTGCAGCAAGTCCTTGTTCTGGAGCAGGAGCTGATGCACACGAGCCTGGGCCTCCAGCCGCGCTGCCGCCTCTGCAGCCAGCTGGTCCTTCAGCAAGTGGACCTGTGTGAGGGGAGAGAGTGGGTGAGCATGTAGGAAACGCTGCTCGAAGGCTAAGAGCTTCCACTCCAGATATCCCTGCTCCTCTACCAGGGCTCACCAGCATCCCACCAAATGATTTGATGAAGAAGCCACTCACAGATGTGATGGGGAGAGCAGGGGCAGGTGGCAGTGTCACACCAGGGCATGCTCAGCAAACCCAGTGTGTGGTCCCCTGACCTCTCTGATGGAAAAGCCCAAGGCAAAGAGAGGCGGCACTGACCAAACCATCGGTCACGCACACGTGCCACGGATGCATGAGGGAAGAGCAGCCCAGGAGGAAGCCAGATGGACATTGATGAGAAGACACGCTCAACCAACTGGACGGTGCTGCAGATGCACGACGGTGCAGCCACGTGCTGCGAGCTGGCCCTGGACGAGCTGTCATTCCGGGCAGGTTTCCCAGAGGCAGGGTCCTGCCAGCGGCGTCTGTCACTAGCAGGGGCTGGAGCATGAGAGCCGCCCTGGAGCTGCAGGCTGTGACAGGAACGACACGCCTGGAGCAACACAGATGGCAAAGTGCTGCTGAGACATGGTGGCTCTGGGGACGTGAGCTGGCTGCTCGTTCTGGCCCTGGGAAGCAATGCCTGGACATCAGCCCACGTGGAGTCCACAGGCAAGAAGCCCATTGATTTCAGCATAACTACCCATACGCAAGCATCTATATCACCAGCACCATGTCCCAGGGAGTATGGGATGCTGCTGGGTGAGACCAGCCAGGAGTCCCCGCCCAGGGGCAGCTCTCTGAACTCAGCTCGAGCAAGGAAACCGCAGGAGCATACTCTGGACAAGAGGACAGCAGTGCAGAGCCACCCGGGGGCCACATTGACTCAACATCCCTTCTTGCAACCCACCCATGGCTCCTACAAGAGCTCCTCTCTCCAGCAAGGACTAAGCCAGCCAGGCTCGTGGGGCACCAGGGAAGCATGTATTTAAAAACAAACTCACAAAAACCCAAAACACAACACACCCCACCCTGCCAAACAAAAAGACAATTCTACCTTGGCCTAGAAAGTGACCTTGGGGAAGAGGGGGGAGCTCTCTGTAGCCTGCCAAAGCTGTGAGCTGCAGTTGCTGGGCCCCAAAAGCAGCACAGCTGGGGGTCACTTGTCCTCCTGGATGGGTACCAGGAGGCAGCACCAGGTCTGCTGGCAGGCAGGTGTTCCCTCGTTTGTCCTGAGCTGCCCAAACATAGCCAGCAAGGTGGCAGGGCAGTGCCCTTAGCAGAGCAGAGTTGAAGCACAGCGAGCCTGGGTGGTGGCAGGAGGCCAGGCAAGGGGCTGGGACTTGCAACTGTCCATGAAGCCAGACTAAGGGCAAGGGGGTGCAATACCTTACACTCTGAGCAGGCAGCACAGAGTCCTTTTGGTTTGCCTCTGGGCCCCCAGCCAGGTGAGACATGCCACACCACTGTGCCAGTGGTGGGACAGTGGGGCACAGTGGCATGGTGGGACAGGGACCCTCTATGCTGGTGGGTGAAGCAGAGACCTTGAGCTGAGCTGGTAGAAGTGGAATCATGTTTAAATGTTAAATGGGTGCCAAAGCTCAGTGCTGGCAGCATCAGCCTGGAAGCTGTCCTTCCTCACAGCTGGCAGTTGTCTCCATCACAGGCGCCTGCAGCAAGGCCGAGGTGATGCTCAGGTGATGCTGGGAGAAGATGCGAGAAGAGCCCAAATGTCATGTCTTGCAGAGGGGCAGTGGCTTGTGCCACCAGCCCCCTGGGGACAAGATCCAGGAAGGACTCCTGGCCTTATTTCAAGAGAAGGAACCTTCACAGGTATCTGGAAACACCTTGCAAAAGCAAGTCTTTGGTCAATGAGGAAACTAAATGACATTTTACCCTCAGCCAAGTAATTAGAAGCTGAGATAGCTATAAACTAAGCACAGATCCTGGGCAACACCATGGTTCTCCCAGTTTTGTTAGTAGAGAATCAAGCCTGTGCCCATCACCATGTGTTCAAAGAAAAACTGACTTGGTACTTTTTGAGAGAAGAAGTGCCACTGACAGAGCTGTTGATATAATGCATGCAGTCATCTGAAAGGCATTTGACATGATAGGGCCCAACTTTTTCATTAACAAATTACAATGATACAAAATGACCACAGCACGCATGCTGAAAGGATTAGAGAGCAGCTAAGTGACAGCTCCTGGGACAAGAACCATCTTGAGGTGGGCAGAGGTCCAAAGCAGGGCGTCAGCCCTTGAAGAGAGAGGGATGAGGCCACCAGCTGCCACCTCAGGAGCCAGCCAAGAAATGGTGTTACTATATTTCAGATTTTTTTAATCTGAAAGTAGGAAGAAAAAGAAATCACCACTCAAGGTTCTGCAGGTACACAAAGACTGGAAACTACCAAAGGTGAGCAGTCCCTGCCACAGAGGGACCTGGCTTTGCCTGGCAAGCTTTGCCTGTAGCAACATTATACTTGGGCAGACACAAAGGATCCCCTGAGGATGCAGGTCCCTCTTCCAGAGGGGAAAGCAACTTCCCAAGCCCATGACTCCAGAAGGCACGCAGGGTCTCAGGGCAACAGCTTGGCCAGAAAGATCAACACTGATGTTCTGATGTGAGAAGAGGAACACCGCGGTAAAGTGCAGAAAGGCTGCTGGAGCCGATCCCTCAGGCAGGAAGAAAGTCAAGCAATTGCAGAGAGCTCTGTGAGGGGTCAGGGAACAAGTGAAGCTAAGGTAATGAGTTGGATAAAGCAGCCAGAGCTGCTTAAATGAGAAATACCTGCATGGAGAACGAGCTGCCAGCTGCACAGCCCAGGCAGCAGTCAGCTGGAGCTAACGCTGAGGCCAGGCATTGGCAAGCAGACAGGGGCCAAAGGACTGAGAAACCTGGTGGCAAGCAGACCTAAGCACCTCATCTTTTTGTGGCAGGACCAGGGCAAATTGACACTCTTCTCCTCTTGCTGCTCAGCCCAAGGAATGGTCCCTCCCCATCCCCTGTGCCCCAGCTTCTCCCACAACCACTACCTGAGCACCTCTGCCCAGAGGCAGCCTGCCTTCCCCATGGAGCTGCCTGCCTTCAGCACCGCCTCCAGGCAGGGGATGCTCCAGCAGCACTGAGGGGCTCAGTCGCGTGCCCCAGCCCTATCATTGCCCCCCAAAAAGAGCAGAGGAAGAACCTGTGCCACAGCCACTTGCGTCTGCTGCTGCTGCTGCTGCAGGAGCTGCTGGAGAAGCTGCATTTGGTGGTGGGCAGAGAGGGGCGTTCCCAGGTCAGGCAGCTGGGCAGACGAGGGCAGCAGCATCTTGGGTGACGCTGTCAGGATATCTTCAGGGTGGAGGCAGCCCTGCAAAACAGTGGTGTCAAAAGTGTGATCCCACGTCCCTCGCCACAGATGCAGCACAGAGCAGCCCGCCAAAATAGGCAGGAAAGAAGCTTCTGCACTCAAAGCAAATGCATACTTTGCTGGGGGTGCTGAAAAACTTTGAAGACAGTATTTTTTCAGTTTTGACAACAGCCCAAATACTTTTGTAGAAAATTCCCCAAAAGGCCAACACTTCCCATGGGATTTTCTACTGTATCAAAAAAGGTTTTTGTTTTTCATGGAAAAAAATCCCTATCAGCTCTGCCCCAGACACTTTCCATGTGGCTGCACTTAGCTGAGCCTCAGCACAGCGCTCTTCGGGAGTGCCCTGGGCCCCGAGCCAAAGGGCAGCCCTGCGGCGGGCAGATGGCTTTGATCTGGGAGCCGGGGAATGCTGCACAATCCCTCCTGATCCCCGGGGCCCCAGGATGAGCATCAGAGCTGCGGGGCTGGGGCCGCGCTGTGCTCCGAGAGCCGAGGGCAGGGACCCACGCACCTTGGCGTCAGCATAGGCGCTCGCCTCCTTGCCCACGGCATCGAGGTCGGTCACGCCGCGGCTGAAGTCGAGGATGTCGGCTCCGGGCAGCGGCAGCTCCACGGCATCGATGTCCGTCTCCTCCGCCGAGGTGGCCGCCCTCTCCGTG